CGAATATTTCGAATATAAGCCGCACCCCAGTTTTCCTCTTGAATTTTTGGCAAAAAATGTGCGGCCTATGCATGCGTAAATACGGTAGTTTTTAAGCTTTATTCTTCGTATGCAAGAAATATGATCTTAGTTTCTAAATATGTGCAATTAAATAATATGTCGAGCTTATATCCCGGTTTAACGTTTATTTATTTTTAATCATACTTATTTGTGGTCTAGTCTTTTAGCTTCATGTACAAGAATTATTTCGCGGTTCCGACAAAATGTTACCGAATGCGGAAGTGTTTGTCATCTGTGTCATAGTAAGTTTCCCATAAGCCCGTCAGATGTCGCTAGCATGCAGAGCGCTATACAGTTCCACGTTTTGATCACAGAGCACAGGAGCACAGTCAGTACGAGGGAGAGTGCCTACATAGTCTAACATAAGCAATTTAAGGACAAATTTCATGTAAATACACAACAGCGAAGGTAACTGTGTGACGGGAATATCAAGTTCCACCTTTTTTTCGAGAGGGGAAGAAGAAGAGTTTTAGATTAGATATATTTCTAATTTTTTCCTGTTTTTTTCTGTTTTGTTAGTCTACATATATTTCGCACTGGCTAGATATTTTTTAAACAAAGTATAAGAGAGGGGGGGAGGCATGATCATGCTTTGCCCAGGGCCCACCGATGCCTTAAAACAGCCCTGAACTTAATGCTGGCTAAACTATATGCGAGGACACGCAGTTAAGACATTTTGATACAAACTAAACACGTCTGCAGTACAGCGCTGTGCAATAAATAAAGAAGTGTAGTAAATCCTAACAGAGTGACTGCACTGCATTTACACCACTGCATAATGGTCAATTGCCTTTTCATATATGGTAAATTAAAGGAAAATACTGCCCTCGTATATGTTTCATGCTAAATCAATTCCATTACGATTCGACTTTTCGAGAAATATCGAAATTCGTTGAACTGAGTGTCTTGCAAAGTAGGAGGAAACTATATCGAATCGATCAGGGGAAAAAAGACTCCGTGGTTTTAGTCCGCAAGCGAACTATACCGACCGAGCGACCGCCACTTGTCAGCGAAGTTAGTGCAAACTTTAGTGGGTAGAGGGTGTCGCGTAGCGATCCGGGAAGAGAAATAAAAATGTTCCTCAATGTTTAGCGTAAACTGGTAATACCAAATCTAACCGAAACAATCTCCGAACTGTTCTATAGAGATGAAATATGGTGAGGGAAGAACATGCCTAGAAGGAGATGATACGAGAGAAGCGGAATATTCATTATGAGTTCATATTTTGAATATTGCGTAGAAATGCTTAAAATTGACAGTATCTGGTCATTTAACGTTAAGAATATTGTGACAGAAGGCCTGACGGCTAGAATAATTGAGCCAAAGAAATAATCATTGATAGGCAACGGCTATGTAAACACGCAACAATACCAGAACCACCGTTAATCACTGTACTCATGTAAGAATGGAAGAACTGTATAAGGGAGTCAGTTTTGAGTGTTAGCATCTTACCCGTGTGGAGGCGTAGTCGAATACCTCCACCACTACCCTGCGAGTCGTAGGAGGCGACGAAAAGAGAAGTCTCAGATCTGAGACAGTAAAATATGGTCGCGAGTCCCAAGGAACTCGGATCCGAGGAGGCCTGTGCTGACAGGGGCCAGCAGGTTATACAAAAGAGAGACCCGTCCTCTCGTCAGAAAGGACGCCCCACAAAACAAGACCGTAACTGTCAAACAGTAATAAATATGTGATCATGAGCCCCAGATGGGGCTCGACACCAAGACTTACTTACTGACTGACTGTCAGTCGCAATGTGACTTTGACTTGACTTGTTAGCAGCTGAAAGAAATATCGGCTAAGACAGCAGTCGGAGTATGAGGTTGATGTGAAATGGTAGCCAGCTTGCAAGGACGTGAGCTTGGGAGCAGAGGAAAGTCAGTCGTTGGAAGCCGCTACCAAGCAACGTGACTGAGAACACTAGTCTCGTTGTGACAGTGATCTGTGAAGTGTAGTCCCGAGCTTTAAAATTGTGCAATAAATCCGATTACCAATCCAAAACCCACATACGAATAACATTGAGAGAGAACTCTTACTGCATTCATGGCTTTGCAGAAACCAAGTCTTTACATCGAATGAAGCATCATGGTAGCTTAGAACAAGCTCAATATATCTCACCTAGTCCTTCACATTTTATTCGCTTGTAAATAACAGCTTCATAAGATGAGGTGTAGTTAAAAAAAATTGGTGCAAATACGTTGTACATACCCTCTCATATACGTCTCATCTAGGCTACGTCACCTCGGAAACTGAAGTGATTGCCGCCAGGCAGACTATGTCTGGTCACTGAATACTGAACAACACCAAAATCCATCTGACTGGCAAAGCCGGTTTCGATAGAATCGATATTTCAACTCTAGGCCCCTAGTAAACATATTTTGATATACTGCCTATGTAGTTCTATTTTGGGATACGGTCTCCATAAATGACTGAAATATAATCAAAATCGTTAGACACGTTTTTGAGAAAAATTTTTTGGGGCGGCCTTTTTATATTAATTTGGCACCGATTTACGATTAATAAATTCCAAAACACAGAACACGAATACACTCGTCAAACCTTTCAAATTGTGACGATACACACGTCCATCCATGCCTTCAACAACCGTCAAGACAGAGTCTAATTTCTTATTAATATTTTTTTTCAAGAAATTCTGTGCTTCATAGACACTCTTCCATACTTATGGAAAATAAGTTGCCCATAACTAAACCTCAATTTTATTTTCACGTATAATTTAAGCGCTATTTTATGTTGCAAATTAATATTCTGGTGATTACAACATATATTGGAATTAACATTATAGCAAAGGATTCTTAATACAAACATACATAAGTATCAAAATTGGTGCTGCTTTTGAGCACATATGTATGACAATAGTAATTGTTATTTTGATTGCAGTATAGAGAAACGAAATTTAAGGAGTGGAACGTAAGTTCATGATTACAGCAACAGTGTCTTCCGCGGTTGGGTGACTTAAGTGGAGCGGACCTCTGCCGATATTTGTTTTGAGAGTATTCGCTCATGCAAATTGCCGCCGACAGTCGCGATGAAATGGGCAGCACTCCTGTTTCATATTGGGGAGGTTCCGTGTTAAAATCTCAATCCGGAGATCGGCTAGGCTGACTGAAGCTTCCCGTGGCTCTCCCCAGGCCTTCCAGGCAACTGCCGAGATTGTACCTCAAAATCTGACAAGGATCACTTCCGTCCAAATATTTAGACTCGCCATTCACCAATTATCTTACCATTTATACTCTGAACTACTGCCAGCGTCGTTAAAAGCAAATAAATAAAATGAAACAAGAGAAGTTGTCCTTCCTTGTTGATAATAGATTGCGTGCAGTTGTTTTATTAGTGGTGAAGTATTAGGCCTTATTTACAAAATAATATTGTACGCCTTAAGGTGAGGTTATGTTCGTCCGTCCATCCATCTATTCCTGTTGCTCCCATTTGTAGCGTAAGGCATCGGTGAAACGTTTCGTTCACTTCAGTTTCTTAATTTTAGATAGTCGGTAAGATTCCTTGGACGGGGGATCAGCCCTACGAAGGTCGCTATGTATACAGAACAGCATATACACAGAATAAACGCACACAGACGTTCATGCCTTGAGTGGGATTCGAACCCACGAATCCAGTGTTCGAATGGGCGAAGACAGTTCATGCCTTAGGCCGCGCGGCCACTGTTATCGGCTCTGTTAAACAGTACTGGTCCCTAAATCGTTGAAGATATTTTCTTAGGAGCTGATATGGCAATCATTAAAAGTTGTCGGCAAATTCCGATTTTCGTCTGTATTTATCTAGAGTAAAGTATAGTTTTCGTGAGGTAGTAAATGGAATTTTAGGCCAATCTATCCCACAGACCCGTACACTAAGGTTGTCGAAATTCGATATGGGTGACTCGTTGATTTGCGTTTTATTATTCCTGTGTTAAGTAAGCTAAAGCAGATCACAGTGGTCGGGCGGTCTAAGGCATGAACTGTCTTCGCCCTCTCGAACAGAACACTGGGATCGTGAGTCGAATCCCACTCGCGGCATGGGTGTCTGTTTGTACTTATTCTGTGTTTGTGTTAGGCAGCAGCCTTGCGAAGTGCTGATCCCGCGCCCAAGGAATTTTACCGACTGCCTCAGATTAAGAATATGAAGTGAAATGAAGCGTTTCACTGATGCCCTATACTCCAAGTGGGAGCAACAGAAATAGAAGAAGAAGAAGACTAAAGCTTAATAAACTCCGAAGAACGCGGTATGCAATTTTTATAGTGCACTGTGGGTTACACCTTTTCAAATCTTGTATTTCTGGAAGGGCACACAGACTCATACAGACAGAACTTGCTTTTCCAGCTTTATACAGAAATACTGTGTACCGTTTCGATCTCGGTATATTCGGGATTCAGAACAACGAAGTCGATTGTTTAAGTACACGTACGAGTCTGGCTCGCGAGTCCGGCTCGGCGAGCTTGACTCGGGTGCCGGGCTCGGATTAATTTCACCACAAACACATGAGCTGACTCCCAACTTTGCGACCCACACACGGACGAGTTTGGCTCATTGGAACCCGAGCAGAGTCGGACTCACGAGCCAGGCTCATACGTGTATGGGCCCCTTAAGAATGTCCGGAATTGCATTCAAGATTCCGAAAACTCGCTGAATTACGATTTGTCGTAAGAGATTGTCTCCAAGTCGTTATAAGAGCCAAATTACCCGCGGTTACCTGCGTACATACACTTACACTATACAGAAAGGCAGTGCACAATTTAGGGATAGGGTATAATTTTAAAAAAGTATTTGGATTCTAAAGGAATGTCTTCCGACTTGTTGACAGTGGTCATGTGTTGACCTTCACTGGCCTACATGATGTTATATCCCAGAAAATACAACTCTTCAACACTTTTATTTTCTGCAGTAATGAAAGTGGATTTGAAGAATGCTTACAAAATGATGGTACTCACTCTCCTTGGGCTTCGTGAGGGTAGGGTAGCTCAGGGGTGGCGGCCTCACGTACCGGCACTCCTGCTTCTTCACGTACACGTCATAGTCGGGGTCTTCAACGAGAGTTCCAGATCTAGGAGGAATTTTGGGCGACAGGTTACAGGTTCCATTCCCCTGTTGGCTGATTCTGCAACACGAGGTTTGTACTTCAGTAGTAGGGCAAGCAACAAGCAAGATGATGAGACAAGGCGTGCTTTTTCGGTCCTGTGTCAGACAATTGGGACATAGATCATAAGCACGCTACTACATTCATAAAAACTGTTCATTCTCGCAGACAAAACAATTGTCACCAGTATCTGTAATCCTGAAACACTTAAATCTACTTAGCATACGAATATTTATCTGAAATTGGAGATGGGGGGGTTAAATACCACTGATCATGGCGATCGAGTGGTTGGCGCCCTTGTTTCCGAGGTCTCTGGTTCATATCTCGGCCGGGACATCAGCTATACTGATTGAGGTTTGCAGTGGGGTTTCTCAGTCCCTACAGGCAAATGCCGGGATTATCCCCCAAATTATGCCACAGTCGCTTCCTTCAAACCCTTTCAAAGTAATTATCCACTATTATCAGCTGAGGTTACATAAATTAATCTAATATCGAAAGCGTCATAAAAAACAAGAATAAAACAGTTGCAATATCTAAATGTGTTATTTCCTTGATAGAACTCTACGAACTGCTAAACATATTACGTACTTAAATGACCTAATCTTAACATTATAAAATATCTCTGAATTCGTTTCTGGTATTGAGAAACAAGTCTGTATATAAAGTACAAAGGGCGTTGACGTGGTACCTTCTGTGTATAAGTATTTCTTTAAAATTGGTTCTCTGAAATACACAATTCTGATCCGACTATTTCCTATAACGAAGAACCTATAGGTCAGAAGAAAAATATTTTTAAGATAAGTCCATACTCAAACCCAACCCAAAATTCCCAATGCTGTGTAATTCCACTCTAAACATAATGCAGCAAACTCAGATGCAAATATTTAGTGCTCAGGATGAGTATATGCATATAACACGAAATTCATTTGGCATATACAGGGTGTTTCATGACTTTAGGGCATAACTGCAGGAGATGATTTCCTAGGTCATTGTGATCAAAAAAGTTCCATAAACATGTGTCCGATTTTGGACGGTTACGGAGTTATGACCGTTTTTTCATTCCCGTACACGCCCTCGTGTGAACCGCGTCTATAATCTGACGGGTCGCTATTTTTAGCCAGCTACAGTCAGAGCGTTCTCGTTATCTCGACACTTGAGAGGTACCTAAGGCGTGGTGGGTTGGTATGTACCCGCGCGGTTCATAACCGAGCGGCAGCCTGTGTTGCGGCCGGCGGG